AAAAAAAGAGATCACAATTTTAAATTAAAATTATGGTGTGCTAATTGAAAATTGGTGTTACTAGTTAAAATAGTATTCTTTAAATTATCTATTTTATCTTGTCTTTTAATTTCAATCATGCCTTTGTATCAAAATGGTCGCTATGCATTATAATGAAAAATTATTTTAGTAAGTTAGAGCTTCTAAAATATTGTTATAATATAGTTTTAATATTAATTTAATTTTGATTAAACATTTATAAAGTTTTTTTGATCATAAATTAAAGCTCTTATAGTGTATTTAAATAAAAATCAAAAAAATCTGATTTAAATCAAAAAAATCCGATTTAAATCAAAATAATCCGATTTTTTTGATTTTTTTTAAAAAAAATAAAAAAAATCACGAACCCTGCTAGGTTACCACTTTCGTAAAATGAACATGACATGTTAACTAAGTTTGCAAATTTCTAATGAAGCAACAATAAGGTTTTGCCTTGTAAGCAATTTTTTTAAGTAAATTTTATTTTGAATTTTCGCGTCGATCAATCAGGGTTAAAAGAAATATAGTTCATTTAAATGTTTAAGTAAGAATTGACAATGTGACTTGTTTGAGTTTGTTTATAAAAGGGGACCTTTACATAACATTTAGGCTTATTATAGTTAAAAAAAAAAATTTTTTTTTTGTAAATATTGTTCTTTTGATAGGTACAGTTCTCAAATTAAAAAACGGACCAGCCTGAATAGCTTTTGATCTAATGATCGGATCTTTACGTTCTAGGATTTATCCTTAATGGTTCGAGGGAGTGACCTCAAATATGCTAATTAATTGGCGTAGACGATATTTTAAGTTAAGAAAGTTAAGCTCTGACACAAAAACGTACTTTCTCTGAATAACACATACCTTTTTTTCAAGGGATTTGGATTTCTGACCCCCAAAATATAGGGTGTTATTATATTTGCTAAAACTGAGTATGCACATTTTTTTTTAGTGGTGAAATATATATTTTACTTTTTGATTATGTGTTCCTAAGGATCACGCATGAGATTCTTCTGATTTTTGGTAGAATTTCCAACTTTTAACTTCAGAAAAAATTAACGAAATTTAATTTTAGAATAAATTCTAACTGAACTTTATTGTAATTTTATCTGCTTTAATCAGGATTTATATATGAGGCTTAACAGTTTGTTGGATTGTCAATATACACATATAGTAAAAAATAAAAATATTAAATAAGGATGTAAACAGTTTAAATGTTTTCTTTTAGTGCAAAATAGTTTTACTCACTTTTTTCCATGATTTGTGAGTCGATAGGTATTTTTATATGTTTTGTTATTTTCCCCTTCTCATGCCTATGATGATTTCTGAGGTATATATATTTCAAAACATGTTACTTTGCAGACATTCATTTGGAACTTGAGGAAAAATTAGCTAAATTTATGAGACAACAAGAAGCGGTTCTCTATTCATATGGATTCTGTACTATATCAAGTGCCATTCCAGCCTATTCAAAACATGGGGACATCATATTCTGGTAATTTGTGTTTATTTAATTTTTATATCAATGTTTTTTTTTTTTTTTCATGAACTTTTCTTTCTTATTTGTAACATGTGGAAGTTTTAAAACCTTTTCCACCTATTACTTCTTCTTTTGAAATGTTTAAGAAAAGTTTCTTTCTGAGCAAGTTATTCTAGGTGAATCGCTATGGTGTGACAGATAATAGTTTTATAATTATAGGGCAAAATTGATAGTCATCACAGGACAACTAAATATAACATTTTATTATTATTTTTAATGAATATGGAACTATTATGAATATTTTATCAGACTCTTAAAAGTTACTTCATTTCACAATTGTTTCGTAAAATTTTTCTTCATTTTGGAAATGAATTTTATAATGTTTACCATATTTCTATAAATGCTTTAAAGAAATGCCTTACATTATAATATCATCAATATTTTTACTCATTTAAAACTTTTTGAAAAAGTGATTGCATATTTTATACAGTGATCACTGACCAATTTTAAGTTAGCTCTATATTTGCCAATATTGCTAAGATAATGCTTATGCCATTAGATGTCTTTGCCATTGAATTCTGTAAATTGTTTCTTTATTTAGTTTTTTTTTTTTTTAGTCCAATCAAGATTAATCATTTTCATAATGAATATGGAAATCAAATGAATGTTAATAATGCACTGGATACTAATGTACAGAGGTTTATTTATTAACTGGAAAAATAACCTTGAGCTGGATGCATTAAGATATGCTACTTTTATATAAATTAAGCATATTTTGTTTTAGCATTAAATGACTCTATAATTTCATAAAAGTAACTCAAATTAATTCTGTAAAATATTAACTCTCAACATCTCTTTGTAATTTTAGGATAAAATTGGGGTTTTTTTTTTTTCTTGGGTTGCTTAAAAAACATTGATTTCAAAATTTTGGAGAAAATTGTTTTTATTTTTCTTCATAAAAGAATGTAGCCTATTTTTTTTCTCGTGAAATATTTAATAGTTTTTTTGCAATTCCTTGAATAATCTTTAAATTGCACTGAAAATTAAAATGTTTAAAGAAATACCTATATCTTTTTTATTATACATGTTTGGTTTCTGAAACTATGAAGTATATGTTACACATTATTAATAAAAACATCTGTAAAGTTTTTTTTTTTCTAATCTGATTATCTGTAATTTTTAAATTCTTCTTAGTGACTAATTCTTTCTTCTAAAATTTTAGTGATTTCATGATATCGTCATACAAAAAGTGGAAAAAAATCACTTTTTTTAAATTTGATGGTGGTTGACAAGATTTGAAAGTGTTTACTTAACATTTTGAAAATTTATGTAAATTTTATTTATATAGTTTTTTTTTACCATTTATATAACTGGCTTATTTTAGTGATGAAGCTGTAAACTTTGCCATACAAAAAGGACTGGTTGCATCTAGAAGTCAGATATTTTTCTTTAAACATAATGATATGGATGATCTTGAAAGACTTCTCTTAAATCAAGAAAAACTGGATAAAATTGTAAGTTATCTTTTATACCTTGTGTTTAATCTCTCATCACTTATGATACTGACAAGAAATTAAATTGATCAATATTTTTTTTATTAAAATCTGAATTCTCTTTAAATCAATTTAGTACATAATATGAGAAAGTTTGTTACTAAACTTTGACACTAACTTAATATCTAAAATGTGTCATTTTTATTTGTTCAAACAAGATTTTTTTTTAAATTCAAATCTTGGAAGCATGTATTTTTATTATTCACTCTTCTACAAATTAAAATTTCACGGGTTTTTGTGTTTTTGTCTGTATTGTATGTGAAAATATTATGTATAATTATTTGAATAATTAAAATTATTTTATGACTTTAAAATGTTTTATTTTATTGCAAAAGAAAAGTGGAGTGCATTTTCAGCAACTAAATTTAAATTAATTTTCTTTCATAATCGCTTGATGTAAAATTCGGTTATGTTTCTGGGATTAATCAGATACCTCTTAAAATTGGTGTCATTTAGATATACATTACATTTATACACAAGTGGGCGACCTTTGTGCTAAAATACTAACTACGGTAAACAACGTTTAGAAGCACAAAAATATTTATAAATGCAGACAGCTGTTTCGGATGCTCAAAGGGCAACCTTCATCAGTGTAACAGAAAGAAATGAGAGAAAACAGGGTAAATATAATGAAAGGTGACGTCACAAGGGGGTTAGGGCAACGGCCAATAGGAGGGAAGGGTGAATGGATGACGACGAATGGGAAGCAAGGAACAAAAAAAAGGGTGGGTTAGTTAGGTTTAATCATAGATTTCCAAACAGGAGAAAGATAATCTTTACAACTGTTTTTTCTGTAACAACTGTTTTGAATTAACTTGTCCTTTGATTGCATTATTTAGGATTATACATAGTTTAAGCATGTATCTTTATTAATCTGTATGTGCTGCATAAATGGAGTTGTAATAAGTTAAGAATATTCAATGAATTGAAAAGTTTAATGAGGGGTAATGTATAAAAAGCTTAAATGGAAGAATACATGAAGTAGCATTTTAGTAAATTTTTAAATAAATCAACTTTAGAATTGCAGAAATAGTTTTTAAAATGTACCATATTGCCTTGTTGTTTCTTAAAATTATGCTACATTATCTTCAATTTACTACTTTTAAACAAATTTTTATTATTATTTTTTTGACAATACGCTTCTATGTTGTTACTAGAATCCAAAGAAAGCTCTGGTGACTAGAAGATTTTTAGTTGCGGAAGGATTGTATCTGAATAAAGGGGACATTTGTCCATTACCTGAATTGGTATATTTTCCTTTTATATATTTTTAATTTTTTATTGCAGATAATTATTCTCTAAAATTAAGTGTGATGCCATTTTTAAAGGTTATAATTTATAAATATAATGCAGCAATGTTCTAAGAATTTTCAATTCAACTTCTTAATAAAATGTCTTTACGTTTTCTCAAATATTCCTGAATGAATTCAAGTTAAGAGTTAAAGCTTGTGTCAGAAAGGGGGGGTAAACTTCAAGCAACATATTGAACCTAAATTAAAACTCGGGGGTGATTGTGCTCTGGGGGTACCTCAGAATTCCGGGTTTTTCATATTGTTCTTCCAGGTATAAAGTTCGGTGCTTACCTTTCAGTTTTACTGTTAAAAATCTCAAATTAATGTGATAGTAATAAACTCTCTATTTGTAGCAATCCTTATACTTCAAGGATTCTGACTGCACCACCCTTCGATGCGTACTGGTTGGAGGTTAGGAGCAGTTGGGGAAGGAGGAACAGAATGTGTGTGAGGGAGACAGAATTCTTTTCATCTCCTTGTGTTTTTGAAAATTCTTAGAATTTTGCAGGGTTGTAGGTTTCAGTTGTGCATTGCACTACTGACTATCACATGTTAGAATTTTCCCTGTCGAAATATTTCTATGTGCATACTTTGTGTTGTATTTATATTTGGCATAGAATCTTTTTAACCATTTTGTAGATCGCATTTTTTATGTAGACATTTTTTAACAGAAAAAATGGCAAAAAGGATCTAGAAAAAGACTGCAAGAAGAATTGTTTACTATATGGCATGTTTCACTATCAATATCTACATTTGTTGGATATTGATGGTGAAACATGCCATATTGTTAACTATTGTTCCAAACATTTTAAGGAGTCATTTTTTAAAGCACTTATAAATTCTATGTAAATACATTTATTTTTATTGTTAGTGTGCTGATGAGAGAGAATTATTTTTCCAACTTTGTGCAGTTCTTAAATTGAAATTACTGCAACTGTTAAATAAACCTGATCATAGATGGCTCTGTGCTTCAGGTTCTAGAGCATCTGCAGTATTTATGGGNATCTGTAAAATATTGTTCTACAATAGATTTTATTATGTTCAAAATACATTACTGATATTCTGAAATAACAAAATAGAAAATTTGATATTAAAATTGAAACAGATATGTTAAATTGATAATTTATCTAATTATATACATTTCCTGTAACCTAAAATTTGATCTAACATATTAAAAAAAGTATTTATATTTGAATAACCGTGCAATTACACAAACTTTATCAATTATTTGCTATGCTTGTTTGAAAGAAATTGAATGAATGTATAATATGCATTATACATTCATTTAGTTTCATTAATTCTAATTCACTTCATTGAATTTTTCATGAAAACTTTCACTGATGTTTATATTGTTGGAGTTTGAATTTTTCTAAGTGATTTGAAACAGCAATGTAACTATCAACCATTTGTATTATTAGCTGATAAATTTAATAAATAATTTTCTTTTGTTGTCAAATAAGGATTGTGCTTTAAAAATATGCAATTTCTGTTTCTATGTAATTGTAAAATCTGGTTGACACGTACTTTAGCATATAACAATAATACCACTTAGATCCTTGAAAGTCCTTGAATTTTTTTTTAAAAATTGAGTGGGAACCCTGATATTGTCCTTCCAGGCATAAAATTCGGTGCTTACCTTTCAGTTTTACTGTTAAAAATCACAAATTAATGTGATAGTGATAAACTCTCTCTTTGTATCAATCCTTATACATCAAGGATTCTGACAGCACAAACCTTCGATGCGTACTGATCAGAGGTTAGGGAAGGAGGTACAGAGTGTGTGTGAGAGAGAGACAGAATTCTTTTCATCTCCTTGTGTTTTTGAGAGAAGAGGAGGGTTATGAGGTTGTGGCTGGATTATGAAGGGGGAATGTAAATGCTTGGCAAAAATAAATGGAATTCAACAGAGACTAAAGGGTTGTAGGTTTTAGTTGCGCCTTGTACTTTGTATATACGACTAACACATGTTAGAATTTTCCCTGTCGAAATATTTCTACCTGCAAGCTTTGTGCTGTATTTATATTTGTCATAAAATTTTTTCAGCCATTTTGTAGATCTCAATTTTTATGTAGGAATTTTTTACAGAAAAAGATGACAAAAAGGATCTAGAAAAAGACTGAAAGAATAAATTTCGTTTTAAATGGTGTGCTCCACATATGTTGGATATTGATGGAGAAGCATGCCCTAGATCCAAACATTTTACAAAATAATTTTTTAAAGCACTTATACATTCTATGTGACAACATTGATTTTGATCTTAAGAGTGCTGATTAGAGAAAGTTATGAAAAGCAATTTATTTAAAAACATATTAAACTTGAAATAAACAAATACATTGCACTCTGACAAACAGAGTAATAGAGAGACAAAAAAGCGTAAGAATAAAGCATAACCATGTTCAACTGAAGCTTAAGTACTCTCATATTACAGACAAGAGATGCCTTCATGAGCTATGCACGATTATCCAACAGCAAATGAAAAAAAGACTGACCGAACACTCCATGACCATGATGTAATGGACGTAAGTTGAATACGTGAGAACGTTATGTCACTGAAAACGGGTTTCCCGAAACGGAAGCTCTAAACACTTTTACAATCATTCAAACATAGAAAAGCCTCTTTTAGTATTTATCTATTGAACAATTACCACGACACGCAAATTTGATCTATGCAATTAGTCACTTTTTGAAGGGCTAATACTACTATTTTTTTAATCTGTTTTTTACAGTTGTTGGTTTTGATATCCACATGGTTTTATCAAATACCTATATTTTCATACAATGTTATTAAAAAGCGAGAAATTAGAATCGCACATTTTAGTAATTACTTTTTGACATGCTCAACTTGTGCTAAATCCACATGCATTATGATCTCTATTTTTTGTGGTTATTGCTGTTGATTTTTAAAGTCCGGATCTTATCAATATCGGAAATTCAAATCGCTCACCTGAATGGTCACTACTTGATGCAACAATTCTATCTTTTTTATTTTCAATGAGTTTTTCCGCAATTATCACTGATGACTTTTATATATTTTACTAAATATCGATATTTTTAATATGATATTATTTATTACAATATCGAAATGAACAATTAATTAGAAATGATTTTTGACGAACGGATTCGTGTGATTTCGTTGTGAATACACGTGTTTTATCTCCTCAAACTTTTTTCAGCTGTTGCTTTGAATTTCATTGTTTTTAAATTTTTATTCTTTTAATGCCACGAAGGAGGAAGGGCAAATGCGAAGTACCAAGAAGGGGAATAAGTAATTTTTTCTGTATACAATCAAACCCCGTTATAGTGAACCTTCAAGGGACCGAAATTTCGGTTCAATATAACCAGGAGTTCGCTATATCCATACTGCAAACAATTTTAACTAATGGTTCTGAACTCCTCCTTTTTATTACACATTATTTAAATCAATGACCAATAAAATGAAATACAAAAATGACTAAAAAACAATATGTATTAGCAAAAACTGTGTTAAATTTAATTTTCATTACTCTTCGTCTTGCATACAAAAAATTTAGGGATGGGAAATTGAGATTAAAAAAAAAACGCAAACCAGGAAAAATGCTTACGGCTACATTTCACTCTATAGATGGTTTTAAAAATCGCTTTTTTTTGCTTCACTATATCCACAAAAAATAACATTATATGTGTATAAAAAGGCACGGGAGTGAACGTTTTGTTCACTATATCTGGGAGTTCACCATAAACCTTGTTCACCATAGCGAAGTTTGATTGTGTATATTCTTTTATCTACTGAAGAGAAGAAAAAAGAATATTAATATCCAAGTACTAAGAAGAACTGCTCACTAAGAAAATAAATTTCAGATAATTTCTTCTTCCAGCAATCTGTTTACTTGAACAGATTTTCATGAATCACATTTCTCTCTTATTAGTTGGAGTTAAAAAAGAGATTCAAAGTTCGTCTTTTCATTGATGAAGCATGCTCATTTGGAGTACTGGGAGAAACAGGACGAGGAGTCACTGAACATTTCAATGTTCCCGTAAGCTGGTATTGGAATAGTTCTACCAAATTTATATCCATTGTAGATTTATATCCATTAAATTTTATTTTTCATTACAGATAGATGATGTAGACCTTATTACTGCAACTCTTGAAGCTGCCATACCTGGTTATGGAGGATTTTGTGTGGGAACATCTTTTATTGTCGATCATCAAGTAAGGAATTTAGTTTTTCAGCTGACGTACCCATTTGAGGCATGAGCCACGAAGGACTAATATTATGCAATGTTGTTGAGTACATACTGTCTCATGTGTGTTCTTGACTATAAGCTTATTAACAATATACTTTCTTGTATTCTATGATGTGCGGGGATGCCATGTATAACTCAGGAGATAAGTTCCTTGAAACTTCAAACGTGTGTTCTGTTTAAAATGTGGGAAGAACAATCATTATTTTGTTTGTCATGCCAGATGACATGCAACTTACAAAACCGTTTTATAGATAAAGCCTTATTAAATAACATAAATTGTTTGAAACATTATTCCTAGTAATCTATTAGATTAAATTTTGCTGAACATCATAAACATTTATTTAATGCAGCAAAGGAAGCAACCATTATTAACAATTTAAAATATTTTTTGATAAGTTTAATGCAGGCAGAGTTTAAATCATGCATAAACGCATTAAATCATGATATTTTCCCTGCCAGTAAGCAAATGTAGTTGTTTGGAATGTATACTAATCAATAAACATGATCTTGTGCTCAGGCACTTTGGTAGTGCAGTCTGTAAAGGTGTTGCTCAATTTGTTTGTGGAAGGCTGTGAGTTTGTTCCTGGCAGCTGACTAAATAACCAGTGTGTATGCACAGCAAACTGCACAATAAATTTGTTGTGGTTGTGATGTAGAGGTTTGGAAAGGACTACCTGTTCAGGCACTATCCACGTTGTCTGACCGGGGTCAGATGTGGAATTCCTGCCATGGTTGTTAAATGATAGAGCCTTGAATAATGGGGGTGGGTGCTTACCCATGATAATTTGGTATATGATTTGTGCTTAAAGATCACATTTTTGGCGTGTTTACTGTTCATGGAAACAATGTTGTTTTAACAGGAACAGAGAATATTCAAATTGGCCTGTTATTATTATTTTTTTTTTAAGAATCTTATTTTCTAGTCACTGAAGAATTTTGGAAGAAGTATACAATTATTCAATGGGGACAGAATTAATTCATAGCTTCAGTACAACTGGATTAGTAGCTGACAAGATAAGAGCTGATAGGTTCTCCATTTTAGAAAATGAAAATTAAAACAAAGTCTCTATGTTTATGACAAAAAACACGAGTTGAAAAAGTGGCATTTCTAATTTGAAAAGAAAAATGTTGTTTTGAACATTAATTGTGACACCTAAAATTTGTCTTTCCAAAATCTGGTTAAATAAAGCAGTGTGGCCACCCACCTGGAATTATCAGGGAATTTTTTTATACTTGAAGAAACCTGGAAAAGTCAGGGAAATTTAGATAAATACCTGGAAAAATCAGGGAATTTTAAAGAAAAGCGTGAATTTTTTTCATAGATTTTCTCAATTTAAATTATTTTATGGTTCGTTGTACTCACTTTTTTTAGCCGGAAATTTATTGCAAAACAGTTGAATTATCAATTTAGCAATATTTTGCCAAAATTTTTAAAATTTTCTCCATTAATCCCTGTTAAGCTAGAAAGACACAAAAAACCCATGATTATTAAATGAATGGAGGGAGAATCCTTTTTGGAAACAGTTTAGGAAAGGCGAAAATTGTGGTGAAGAAGGAGTTAAGATATTTGCTTCTGTTTATAAAATTAGCATTTTTTAACTTCTAATCCGTGGGTTGAATCCATTTGTTGTTCAAGTTTGTTCCGATGCTTTAAGTTTTTTTCTTTCTTCTGACTAAATGATTAAGAATGTTTTAGTGTTTTTAATTTCATAAAATTTACCACAAATTAGTTGGTCATAATTTAATAGATTTTATGTTACACTCTTTTTCTAAAAGCTTTTGTACTCCCATCCAAAGCGGTGAATTATTTTTCTCAGCAAAGCCAATTAATCACATATTGACAAAATAGATTTTATGTTACACTCTTTTTCTAAAAGCTTTTGTACTCCCATCCAAAGCGGTGAATTATTTTTCTCAGCAAAGCCAATTAAGCACATATTTTCTTACAATCATTAACAGCAATGTTTGTCAACAAATCCTTACAATTTTTGTATTGATACTAATTTTCTTGATTTCATTTTAACCTTTTATAACATATTTTAATTAAATAAAGGTTCTTTTAAGAACCAACCATATGTTAACATTTTGTTGATAAATATTTGATTTTTGATTCAAAATTAAGATTTTTGATTCAAAATTTGTCATTGTGCAGTAATAACAATGTTGAAACTTCGTTAATGTTATTCTTTTTCCAGAGATGATAGTTCCAAAACTGCTTCTCCTTTTACATTAAGAAGCTGGTAAAAATTGGAGAATGTATGGGAAATGTGTTAAATGTTGTATAAAAATAGGATAACTAATCTAAGCTAAAAAATCATTTAGTTAGATAGGATTTCTTTTAATATTTTAATTTCAAATTAGAAAAGAATAAAATATAAAGAATCTATCTAGTTTTTTTCTATAGGACATGCAATAAGAAATTTGACAATTTTGCCTTTGTGGCATTAATTTTTTAATACTGCATATTGCTTAAAATAATAATGCTGCTTGAAAACAAGATTATTTAAACGCTTGACTTTAGATATTGGCTTAAAGAAAATATGAAGTATAGTTTTACAAAGAGTATATATTTACAAAGAACACTGTTTAGATTAAATACAGTATTAAATGTGCTCTATATAAAATGAAATAAATATAAAAAGTTATTGATGCATAATCGCCTGTTTTTTATCAATAATTTTTTTGTTTAATGAAAATTAGGGATGCAAGAAATATACGATTACTATTCGGCCTGCTTGCTGAATATTCGGCCAAGTCTTTTTTGACAAAGTTTTAACAGATTAAAAAAAGATTAATCTAAAATAGTATTTTTATTATACATTATCAGATATCGTCTTTACACATATTTGGTTAAGTTTTAATATTCGTGTGCTTGCAAAATTATGTTGTGGAAGATAAATGGAAAAGCAAAATTTCTGTTTTAATAATCTAGATTATTTTGTTTTTCTGTTTCGATTGTAGCACAGCATTTTAACTGAGCATTTTATGATAGATTTTATTCTTTTATTTTTACTTTTTTTCTAGTATGGTAAGACAGACAGCTGGTAACAATAAAATGCTGTGATTTTCAATCTTAAAGTTATATTTTAAGAAGTGAGAATTTTTTTTTTTTTCTTTCTCTTTTTCGCCTTTTTTTATTAACTTTTTCTCAAAGTTTTTATTATGATACAGCATTTTTAAAAGAGCGTTTCTGAGGAACGTTATTTTTGATCTTGAAAAGCGTTAAATTTTCTTTTAAAAATTTAGAACAATTTTAGTTTTTGTTTCTATTTAGCTTTTTCTTTTTTAAAAAACTTTGGTTCAAGAGTTTTATTTTAGCAGAGCAATTAAGAGAGTTTCTATTACTTATTTCTTTTTTCTACTCTTTTTTTTTAAATAAAAAAAAATTACAGTATAATTGGAAAACAGATGTTCAGTTTTAAATATGATAGTCCATCAGTTTAGTTTAATTATGATAGATTTCAATTTTTTATGTTTTGCTTTTGTGTATAACTTTTTGTGGACATTTTTAAAAGCTTTTCTGATAGACTTTTTTCTTTTTAAGTTTTATGTTTACTTTTTTTCTTTGGAAAATACTATTTTCAGCATTAAACTTTTCTCTTAAAAATTAAGCGAATATTTTTTGCTATTTCTCTGTTTCTTTTTTATTCAACTTTACAACTTCAGTTTTTTTTTTTTTTTTTCCTTTTTGTAGCTATTAGTTAGTTTTTATTTATCTTAAATATTTCTTATAGATAACTTTTATAATTTTTTCTCCTTACCCCACACCAATAATATAGCTAAGTTTTGATTAATTTTCAAAAAAAATATATATTAATGATTTTTTTTTTTTAAAAAAAGTGCTACTATTCGGACACCAAATATTTGGTATTCAGATGATTTGTTTTTCCCACTATTCGGTATTAGGCAATTCTGCCAAATCACTATTCATTACATCCCTAATGAAAATGTATTAAACAGTACTTGTCAAGGTTTTCTTTTTTTAGTCTCTCTGTATTTGCCATGTGGTGCACTTTCTGCAAAAAATACTGAACACATTAAACTTTTTTTTATTCAATAAAAACAATGTATTTTACATGCTAAACATATTATTTTCTCCATATCTATCTTAATTTTTTTAAAAATTAATGTTGTACCAAAACGTTAAAAATTTAAAAAAAAAAAAAAAACAATTTGCTAAGTTGTTAAAATAAATGTATTTTAATTACATTTTTAATATGATACATTAAAAAAGATATCTTATAAATAAAATACTTTACAATATTGGTACTTTTGTTGTATCTATCCTATACTTTATGAGAAGAAAGAAAAAAGCATGTTAACCGGGAAATTTTAAGATTTTTACCTGGAAAAATCAGGGAAATTTGAAACCTGATTTGAGTGGCCACCCTGTAAAGACACTTTAGCATTCATGAAAGAGGATGACATTTCAAACATTTAGTTGTTACTTTGTCTGCAAGAAATAAAAACAACCATTTCAACTAATCTCTGTAATACTTAATTTCAATAAAATTCTCAAGCTGGTAATTTTACCGAGATGATGGCACTAAACTTTGACGTGCGTTTTTTTAACTTACCCTGTATAATTTAAGTAAACAATTTTAAATTGTTTTTTAATGATTTTAATTACTTTTGATTTGAGGAACTACTAAATTATGTATATCAAAATATCAAACACAAGATTCTACCAATAATTCTCGTTTTTTTTTTTTTTT